CCAAGAGCTCTCAGTGAAAGGCTGGCAGAGGGCCTCCAGACCCTATCTTCAAGGGGAAAGCAAAGACAACAGGGGGAAGCCAACTTGCCCTGTTTGCCTAGTCTGAGTCTCTGTTGTGTGATATGGATTCCTATACAGGGAGGGGATACAGTTGGGGGCTCCTTTTTTGGGATGTCCATTTTTTTTTTTAAGGTTTTATTTATTTGACAGAGAGATCACAAGTAGACAGAGAGGCAGAGAGAGAGAGGGGGGAAACGGGCCCCCCACTGAGCAGAGAGCCTGATGCGGGGTTCGATCCCAGGACTCTGAGATCATGACCTGAGCCAAAGGCAGAGGCCCACCCACTGAGCCACCCAGGCACCCCACTGGAATGTCCATTTTATCACCAGGCTGAAGACACCTATGGCTCTAGTTCTCCTGGGGGTCCGGCTAGACACTGGCATGTTGATAAACTCTCCTAAAATTCAGTGAGCAAAAATCCCTGTGTATTTTGGGGTGGTTATTCAAAGGCTCAAGGGGTCAGGGCTGAGGGAAAGGGGCCTGGTACTGATAACAATTTTCCTCCCTCTGGCCTCACTGTTCTTCAACCATATGGTTGCTAAGGTGATTTTCTACTTGAGACAAAGGAGACCCTGTCCATTCCCTGCTTGTCCTCGAGACGAAGTCCACACTCCTTAGCTTGCCACTCGAGGCCTCTCTTTGTAACTTCATCTTTTGGCTTCTCCTGCAATTTAGACCCCAGCCATTCCAAACTACATGCTGTTTCTTGAATGTTCCATGCTTTTTTGAGCCACTGCCTAGAATGCCCTCTTCGCTCACATGTCCACCTAGAAATTTTCGACTCAAAACTGGAAACGCTGCTCAAAAATCCACTGCTTTGTGAAGCCATCTTGGCTCTTGTGGAAGCTCTTCTCCTACCACCAACCCAGGGAGATGCAACTTTTCTCTCCTCCCGAATACTCCCTCACCTTGGGAGGACTTCTGTAACTGCAGGTGGCCCCATGCACTGTGTGAGTTACGTGCCCACCTGCTCTGACTTCCCCAGGGCAAGATCAGCATCTCTCTCATCTTTACACACCTGCCACCTGGCACACAGCTGGTCCTCGACAAAGAGGAGCCAGATGAAGACAGATGGCCCTGCAGGCAGCAGGAAAAGAAAGGAAAGGGGCTTAAAGGGAGCTTCAACTCCTTAAGCATGTTTCGGGCCAGCATCAAAGTTGGGTCAGGGCACGGCTTAAAAGTTGGTCATGGAAAAAAGGGACATGGTGACAGGACACTGACTTTCTAAGCATTCTGGACCAGGGCTTGGGAGAGCTGAGAGAAACTGATCATTTAGGTAAATATGCCACTGCCCAAGGCAGCTGGGTGGGGGTACCAAGAAGACTACAAAATCTTGTATTAGCCTCAGAGAGCAGAAACATCTGCTAAAGCCACAGCGGGCAGGCTGGCCAAGTTCAGCAACGGGTTAGCCAGGACAGCCCTGTGACCAAAGGAAAGGGCCACAGAGGGGGAAGAATCAATCATCCGTGCAAAGAGGATAGGGGGGACTAGCAGCAACAGGGGGGGTTCCAAAGCTCAGGGGAGCCAGATGTCAGCGACCCAGCCAGGAGCGGCAGCAGGGCCCTCCTCTGACCCTTCCAGCCCAGGCCTTCGCTGCCTCAAAAACTCCCTTACGCCTTCGGAGCCCATTGGCTGTCAGAGCCTGAGAACTTAGGGAGTTTTTCTCCTTTTCTCTGAGGACTTCAAGGTTTTAACAGTAAGGTTCAGCTAGCTCCCCACTCGCACACTGAAACAGCTTGAAAGGAAAGAGATAATTCACTTGCCAGCCAACATCTCTGTTGAAAGAGTTTTCTTTTTCATATCAACACTTCCATGAATTCCGAATGGGATCAACTCTTTGCTACACAGCTGGACGTTAACAAAACATCAACACTCTGACAACCTGCTGGGGTCAGAAAGGAACATCTTAAAACTCTTTGGACTCCACGTTAAGACAGGCTTCCAATCCCAATCTTTGATCTCTATTATAAAGCAGTACCAATAAAATATCGTAGAGATTTATGGGTGAACTTTCATTTGAGCTGTTTCACACCTAAAATAACACGGGCACTGGGGCCAATAGGCAGACAATTTAGCTTCAGGTTTCAACTGTTTAGGGTTTCTTTGACTTAAAACTTAACTCATTTATTTTTAAAAATTACTTTACATTTCACAGTTTCATTGTATTTCCCTCTCAGGGAAGACAGGAGATGTTTAACTGGGTAGATGTCATGTCCTTCTGAGAAGGACAGGCCTAAACTCAGGTAGATGCTTGTCCCCTTAATGAACAGATGCCTGATTTCTGTCAAAAAGAAAGAGTGTGTCCTTTTCATGGGACTTAAATGGACACTATTTCAATTTATCTTTTCTCCTGAGTATACTCTATGGTTAATTAAAATAACCAAATACTTATTACTGGGAGTAAAATCCCAAAAATGAATTTCATTTTAAAGACAGTAAAATGAAATTTGGACCTAGTATCAGTTTTATTGTGTAGTCCTGATCTGTGGGATAATTCTCCAAATCAAGCTTAGACTGTAAATCCGGTATCAGCTACTTATAAGCCAGTACCCCTGAACGAAAACAAATTGGTGCCACATTCCCTCTAAGGTGGGAAACCAACTGGCTCCCCACCCTCAACACACACACCCCTCCTTTCATCTGATAAAGCTGGGAGAGATGATTCTGCCAAATGAGAAAGCAGAGAATCTGGAGGAATAGGTAAGCAGCTCATCCAGCTTTTAAGAAGACCTTTATAGGCAAAGTAAAGTGAAAACAGCAGAAAAGTTCCTGGACACAGTCCTTTTTACAAAAATGAGTAGGAAGAAAGGTCAGAGCAGTGGTTCAAAGGAACCAGAATGCACAGCTGCTGCTGTCCAAGGTTGCGGGCTGGTGCCACTCGCTCCTGCCAAAGTGGGGGCCGAGCCGGGCAGCAGGAGCCCGCAGTCACTCGGGGGCACACGGGCCCTTTCTCCATCCAGCTCCACACTTTCAGAGCTCAGGAGCAGAGCCCCAACTCTGCAGCCCTGAGAAGTCCTAGAACTGTGACAATCATGAACACAAAGTAGAGGAAAGAAAATGTGCTTTGTTATTTAACCCCATTTTATTTTTCTATTTTCTGATTTTGAAACATAATTCCTGGTTATAAAAGGAGAATGCAAGAGCTAGGTAAGAAAAAATCACCTGCTTAGAAGAACCTCTAATTGTGTCCAAAACTCTTAAATATGTGAATCTGAAGAACAGAGTTATTAAAACTTTTCTACATGGGGAGAGCAACTCACGTTTATTCACTTTCTGTGGTCTTAAAAGTCTTAGAGATTGCCACTTCTGTTTTTCTTTACATCATAACATCATAGTTTGGTGGATAGAGGGGATTCTGGACTCTGATCTCCCTTCCCTCAGAGGCCTTGGGCCAGACAAAGGCCAGAGCTGGTCAACTCCATTTTGGGGCAGGAGGTATGGATGGGATATCTTCAACCTGAGGTTATATTAAGTGTAAACAATGTACAAATGTCAGAGCTCTGTTCTTGGGAGAGCCAAGTTATGAGTGAGGGGCTTGGCTTTGGACTGGTTCCTTTGTCTGCATACGCCGGGGATCTATACATTTTTTTTTTTTAATTTATTTATTTGACAGAGATCACAAGTAGGCAGAGAGATAGGCAGAGAGAAAGGGGGAAGGAGGCTCCCCGCTGAGCAGGGAGCCCGATGCGGGGCTCGATCCCAGGACCCTGGGATCATGACCTGAGCCGAAGGCGGAGGCTTTAACCCACTGAGGCACCCAGGCGCCCCAGACCTACACTTTTATAAAAGGAGCCCGAGTGGAGGGAAAGTCATCCCCCCAAAAGCTTTCAAAACGAAAACATTTTTATTTAAGTATAAAACACACACATACTAGTGCACAAGTCATAAAGGAAAAGTCTGTTCCCTTTCACTAAGTGAAAGCTCAGGTAATCAGGACCCAGATGCAGAATCGGGGCAATCCCCCCGCACTTGGGCTCTCTAGTCCTACCGTGTGAATCCATAGGACTCACTTGTTCATGCTACCTTCAATGGGTAGGGAATAGTGCCCGTTTTTTTGGGTGGGATCATACTGGTATTTTAATTTACATTTCCCTGATAATGTATGATGTGGACCATCTTCTCACATGCATATTTGTCATCTGTAGATCTTCTCTGATGGAATCCTTTCTCGTCTCTGAGAAAGGGCAAGGCAGGAGCTGATTCCAGCAGGGGTGGAAACGTTTTCTCAAAAGGCATTTCGGGGGCGCCTAGGTGGCTCAGTGAGTTAAGCCTCTGCCTTCAGCTCAAGTCATAATCTTGGGGTCCTGGGATCGGGCCCCGTATCGGGCTCCCTGCTTGGCAGGGAGCCTGCTTCCCTCCGGTCTTCCCTGCCTGCCTCTCTGCCTACTTGTGATCTCTCTCTCTCTGTAAAATAAATAAAATATTAAAAAAAAAAAAGGCATTTCATCCCATTCTGTTGTAGTGCGACAATGCCACAGACATTAAAATGCCACAGTATAGCACGTGGCTATATTGCAAAAATACATCATAAAAACTGTGGCTGGCATGGGCTGAGTCGGCTGAGCCCGGCTTCGGAACAATATTTTGAAGGCAGTTACTGTTCCTCATTTCTTTCTGAACATGAGCACCTGTCTGACTTACTCAGGTGGCAGGGCCAGTCTGAAACCTGAGATGGGTCCCCGTGTCTTGCCATGATATGGTTCCTCTTGAATATATAAGGAAAACATGCAACCACCAAGGGCCAACACTTGCTGGAGCTCACGTTATAGGGAGAAAAACCCTGCTTTTTAAAGATCTCATTAGATGTGAGAAAAGATGTTCAGACAAGGTTGCTATTCCTCATGACTTTTTTTTTTTTTTTTTTGGTAAGAAAAGAGAAACAATGGAAGCAGACCAAACAGGCTGTCCTTCAATTCCAGAAACTGGAGACGGATACTTACCTTCTGAACCAAATAGACGCTTGTAGCTCTCTCAGCAGCCACTTTATCCAGGGGGGATCCCTCGGGAACAAAGTAACTGACATCTGCGATGTGAACCCCCACTTCAAAGTTGCCTGTAAATGCAGAAGGAGGCTGATCAGTGTGGTGTGGAAAGCAAGGTCATCCCTCCCAGGAATCCCTCCTGGGACTGTGTGGCACTGTTGGGAGGCCACGGGCCTCAAAGCGCGGGTCACCGTCTCCAGTCTTCCCGGGGATTCACATGGTTACTTTCCTTACTGTATCCTAGCAGACGGTGAGATTTTTATCCTCAAGACACAACATTAACCATCTTCGCAAGATGTTTCCTGCTTCTAAAGGCCTCTTGTGTTTGTAAACATCAGCGGACTTGCCAAAGCAGGCTCATTCTGGCTGACAAAGGGGCCCTTTCAGGGCACTAGAAAGGAGTGAGTTCCTGAATCCTGCAGACTCTGCCTCTAAGGACTCTGTCCTTTCTGTCCATTCTGAGCACAGTCTTTTATGTCGAGCCCTGCGCCTGGCCTTCCTACCTTGATTCTGCCCCTTCTTACCTAGCTCTGGAATCTTCTCAGTCAGGGATCTGGTGATGCCACTCCCGAGCCTTTAAGCCATGTCCTTGCTTGGTCTCCCCACAACCTGCCTCGCCAGCCTTCAGCGCCCCCCACATGTCTACATGCAGCCATCATGGGAAACCTCCTTCCGCTCCCAGAACACAGCTTATCTCATCCCAATGACATATTTGCTTGGCTCATGGTTTTTTTCTTATGTTTGGGATCATCGCAATGGGACCTGCCTATCAAAATCCTTCTTACCAAACAAGGATCAGTTTAAAGAGAATCTGGGAACAAGAAGAGATTCTCTGCCCTCTGTTTCTTCTATCTCCACAGTCAAAGCACCTAATCCATGAATGAAGATGATTACCATGGTCTTTTCCTCAGTGCACTCATCTTTGCCAGATATCACAATGTATCTTTATTGGCTTACAAATTTACTGTCTGCCTCTCTTCCTACAATGTAAGCTCCAGCAAGGGAGAACCTTCTGTGTAAAGTTCACTGGTCTAGGCCCAGTACCTAGAAGAATGTCTGACAAACGGTAGGCACTCAAGAAATACCTGTTGAGTGAATGAATTAACAATAGGCTTGTCTGCCTGTTGTCTTTTCCTGTCTGGTAAAAGACCTACTTTTTTCCCTTATAGAATTGCCCTGTCCCTTTCTGGTGGACCGGGCCCTGCCCACCAGTTCTGCCAGAGAGATGGGCAGACGATGTAGGCTGGTGGAATTACACTTAAAGTGGGGTTGAGGGGATGGTTAAGTTATAAATTTAGATTTACTCTTGAACATCCCACAAACCAGATCTCAAATACAGCACTTGTGATTACACACAAATGCACCCACACACTTACATATATATGCGAGAATGGACAGAGCGGACAGAATACAAAAAAGAGTTCACATGTAAAGTAGGGGTACAGTGTAACGAGCGCGTCATGGGCAGACAGGTACACTGACGATACCAACACAAAGGTGAATTTGCTCAACTTTAAATATATGCTTGGGTGCTTGGATGGTTCAGCTGACTGAGCATCTAAATCTTGGTTTCAGCTTGGGTTATGGTCTCATCGTGAGATGGAGCCCCGCATCGGGCTCCACACTGAGCACGGAGTCGGCTTCAGATTCTCTCTCTCCCTCTCTCTCCCTCTTCCTCCCCCACTCCTCTGCTCTTTCCCCTACTCACATGCATGCACTCTCCCTCTCTAAAATAACTAAATAAAATCTTTGAATATATATGCTTGATGTAATTCCACCAAACCCTATCCTTATTCATAGTAACTTCAGGGAAAGGGATCTCTGCTGGGACCCCGGACAGTAAGGACCACCATAAGCCTGGAGCTGCCAGGAAAACATCTTTGTCACAGGATCATGCCAATATGGAAAATAACAGTTCTAGGCAATAAGGGGAGAATCATGATAGCCTCATTTGAACTCCAGGATCCAGCTGAACTTGAAACCAGTCTACCTATGGACTTGGCAGTTCACGAATCAATCAGTTCCCTTTCAGTTACGACTCCCAGGAAGAGTCCTGACTGATACCCAAGTTGACTCAGAAGAGCTTCCGAGCACATCACTACTTGTTCCTGGCTGCCTAGATGATCAGTCCAAAAGTATCACACGTTTTATCTGCGAATTTCGTAGCCATTTATTATCCTTCTATTCCTTAATCTCTGGGGGACCCTTCTTCCTTCTGTTTTTTTAAAAATGGAAAACAGTTTAAGCATGGGGTAGTTAAAATAAGGGGTTTGGGGACAGAACGGAATTTAAGATTCCCTATTCCTCATCTCTAGGGACTACCCTCCCTACAGGGCAATCACTGGTTTTTTTCTGCCTAGTCCTGTAACATAAATGCATTGGGGAAAACCAAAGTCCGCGTCTAAGAGATCTCAGCGGCTGTGGGATAATATGATAGACCCACTTCCCACAGACGAGAGGGGCGTCGGGAAAGCAGAGAGAGACCGGTGTGGCTCAGAGTTCAGCCGCCTCACTCTGAGAGCCACGCAGCTGTTGGGTCACTGGGAGCAGGGACACCTGCCCTGTGATGATCGAGGAACTCAACCCTAAGAGGAAGTGTCCAAGAGTCTCAGACGGCTCAGCTTCCAATTTTGATATTACAAGTATCTAAAACCAACACTTGGGGAAGGTAAAATAAAGTGTCTTCTTTTGAAGTCAGAATTATAATGTATTAGCCTAACAGGTAAATATTGACTGAAGGAAAAGAGAGGATTATTACATCATGATATAAACCATAATTTCAAATTCGGTCTCTGTGTTGTTACTACACATGAACTTTTTGTCCTTAGTCAAAATTGACAAACTGACAAAGAGTTCATTACAGGAGATAAAACATTAAGGAGGCCAATCAAAACACATTTCAGAGGCTTAAATTTCCCTCAGAATTCCCAGCAGAGCCTCTAAGACCAGCAAAGAGCAGCTCTCTTATTCTCCCCTTTGGACAGTCTTTTGTGGAAACCCTAAGTAAATATTTTATTACATGTATTTACATAATGTGAACTTGCAGAACGCTCGAGGTAGTGGCACTGAAGGTTTTATTCTATGAAAGAGAAAATATAAATCCAAATGTTCTGTAGTATCCACCGCCAACACACTTAGGACCAACTCGATGTTTTTAAAAAAATACTGTCTTCCATATAAAAGGATTCTTTACAAAAATTTTTTTTGTACATGAAAAAGTTTTCACTGACTGACCCGGGCTAAGGTAAGCCCTGAAAGTTCGGGAAAGCTGGGGAGGCAGAGGGAGGCACAGTCCCCGAGGCCGGCCATGGCTGGCTTGCCTTTGCTCAGTGCCCACAAACTTAAATGAATACAAATGCTCCTTGGAATGAACCTGAGAGGACATCAGAGCTGCTGCATCCAAGGAAAACACAAATAGAAACGAAAGCAGCGGCTTAAAAACCACCTTGTCTAAGCCAGCCTCCCAGCCAGTTCAGCCCCTTTCCAACAGTGTCCCTGCCAGGTGGCCCCTGACGCAGCATCCAGGGTGGGGCGCACACGACCTGAAGCCGCTTGCTCTACTTCTGAAGCGCTCCTGTCACTTCAGCAGGAACATGTGAAAGCGCTTGGTAATCAGTAACAGTTACTCGGACACAATGCTGACCAGGACGATCACGAAAACGACAATACGGATGGCAGCAGTGGCTGCTGATTTACTGTCTTCCTCATGCCTGGGGCTCCACAGATGTTCATCTCATTCTGACACAGGCGCATACACTGAATTTCACCAATGAATCATCTGAGGCTCAGAGAGGTCCAAGGTTACCTGCCTAGGAAGTAATCTCCCCTGGATGCAAACCCAGGTCCGATTCAGAGTCTTTGCTCCTTTTGTTACCCGCACCCCACTCACTCCAAGACAAGATGATACAAGTCAATTTTTCGCCTCAGTGGCTCATAGCTCAAAATCGCTCCCTATCTCTAGGGAGACTCAACAGAAGCCATTCGTGGCCAGGGATTCAGAAATCCTGTTGGTGACCTGTCCCAGCCTTGTCCCCAGTCACATCCCTATCCCTGCAGTCTCTCTCGGTTCCCATGACTGTTCCCCTTCATCACTTGCAGGCTGGCGATCCAGCAACTCCAAGTCATCAGCTCCGGGACGACTTAATTGTGAGGCCTCAGGGTCCAACTGCCGCTGTCTAAGTATCTAACTGCCTTCCTCAGCCATCAGTTCTCCTCAGCGGGCAGCAGTGGGACTGTCCTCAGCAACTGAAAGGGTGGCACCACTGGTGCAGGCGGGGACATCCCAGGCCACCCCTCTGAGGAGTGAGGAGTGCCACCAGGGCCTGCCAGACTTGGATCACTTGAATTCACTTTTACTCACCACTGAGACCTGACAGTGGTGATGGGCTCTTCTTGACCCAGAAGGATGCTGCTTTTAACCCAGAATTTTAGGGAACAATGCTGCCAAATGTATCTCATCAAAAAAATGGCTGCTTCGGTCTGGGTTACTAAGGGACTTCATGTTGCTAAATCCAAACCTTTTTAGGCCTGACTTGACCTGACCTTACAGGGCATCTGAAGCCTAGTGATTCCTTCCTCCTTGACACAGGCTTCCCTCAGCTTGAGCATGTCTGACAGTGTGACTGCTCCTTCCCAGGCTCCTCTTCCTCTCCTGTCCCTTACATGTTGGGAGTGCCTCCAAGCTCGGCCCTGAGCTGCTTTCTCTGGCAGTCCTATTCTCTCCCTGGATTGTCTCATGCCCTCCCAGGAGTTCAAGCATCATCTCTGTGCTTCGGTCTCCTTAATTCTGTGCCACCAGTCTAGACTTCTCTGAGCTCCAGACCGACATGCCCCTCAACTGTCCCACAGGTACCTCACACTCATACCTCTGCAAGTCACTACCCCTGGCAAAACCACATCTCTTCCTGTGCTCTCCACCCCAGGAAGTGGGAGCACCTTCACTAAAGCAAAAGGGGTACCATCACTATCTAAGCCTAAAAGAAACTAGGCCTGTCTCAGCCTGTGTTGACCAATCACTCTGAACTTGAGCTACCAAATCTACCCGTCTCTCCTCTTCCCGCCATCCCCACTA